GAGACGAGAAAAACATTATCATAATTTGATATCAAGAAGTTAGGTTGCTTACAAAAAATTATTTACGTACTTGCAAGCAAAAATCTAGCCTCATGTGGGGTCTCCAGGCATTAGTCCCTAGCAACGTCCCTAGCAACGGTCTGTTTGGACCCACACGCCATGTTGTGACGTAGTTACTTACGGGGTCAATATTGAAGATTAAAGCTAGCGTTTTCTTCCAATCTCTTCTTCGCAAACCCTGATGACCTAGTGTGTGTGTGTGTGTGTGTGTGGGGGGGGGGGGGGGGGGGGGGGTCACAGTATTTTGAATGTGGCTCATAGATTGGACCGAAGCAATGCGTGAGCACTCGATTAGGTTCGTGATAATCAACACGTCGACGAGCATTCGGGTAGCGGTCTGTGTCCAATCGCGGCAGTGACAACAATAGCCGAACCCTAACAATTTCTGGAACTCAGTTCGTGGCTCCTGTGCTTTGCCAACCTCAGCGCGTAGATATATGATGAACATTGTCGGACATATAGTCGGCTACAGATCCCGCGGTCGCTTGTTTTGGCTGCGAGTTCAAGGGTTGAACGCTGCTTGTTTTTCTTTATCGCTTTCTGCGACGTTTACTGTGTGGGGATAAAAATCAACGCGTTCCATTGGTCACATATGTTAGGGATTTGTTCTAAGCGGTATTCGCACGAATACCAAAACTGTTGCGCCGCCCCTTGAAGCTTTTGTTTTCATTCATTGAGAAAGATGCATTGTCTATTTGTCGCATGCCTCGTCATCACCACCATCATCATCATCAGTAATATAGTGGTAATGGCGATGACAGTGCCTGGGATATATTATCATGTCAGCTCCTCATAAAGAAAAAGCGTGAATGCACCTTGTTAAAGTCGGCTCTTCGAAGGGGTGTCCCTTCACGTGAACCGCTCTTTATGCGTTCCACAAAGTAAACAACGCAATGAAATGGATCACCCTGTGTTCGGAGCTGTCGTGAGCGCAAGTTAGACCACTGACCTATGGCATCTGTCTTGCTGCCTGTTGGTTCTATACGCCGCTGAACTGATCAATAAACAAACCGACCGTTCAACCAACCTTGCTCTTCGGCCACGCGGTGGGATCACCGACCATCGAATCAGCTGCGAGGAGGAAAAAAAAGGGGGTGTGGCTTCCGTTACGGGGTGTGTCCGCGTCTGTTTCTTCCTAACGCGTTGTGTTCGCGGCCGATCAGTCGAAGCAGCGCAGAAGACGACGGTCGCACTTGCGCGATTGGAAGCGCGCTGGTTACAAGCAAAAACTAGAACATGTAATGGACATAGATTTGCATTTGCAGACTGCGTTACGACCTTTTGGATGGATGGATGGATGTGTGTATGATGCTGAACCCTTTTAGTCGTGCGGCGACTTACGCCACCAAAACTTTCGTTTCAACAATTAACTAATATCCGAACAGAAAAAACAAAAAAGCTTAATTAAGCCTTTTAACGGTATGCTTCTAAACTCGGAATGAATTGAACATGGTAAATGTTTACATATCGCTGCCCAGCAACGAGTATTCATTTATCGTTCTCCACAACGAAAATTTACTATCCTTTGTTATTGTTCTTGCTGATGTTGTTGTAGTTGTTCTTGTTTTGCACCCTTCCTTTACGATTGAGAAGGGTGCGTTAGGAAAAATAAGGGTTCTGAAAGGGTGTTGCAATGGGTGTAAGTTTCTGGAAAAGCATTTTTAGGCCCAAAAGATCTTAATGTGTGTCGTCACAGTCAATTTTTGTTTTAATCTTTTAAAGGTGTTCCAAGGTTCCAACCGGACGCCATTCGAGCATGACCTCCTTCCTGAAGCACCTGTCGCTCCTCGTGCTTCTTTCTCTCTTCCACGTCTCGAGCGCGTGCTACAGTACCAACGGGTCATACAGCACGTGCGAGGAAAAGATCACCGAGCACTACAACCTCTTTGGTACCAAGACCACCTACGAGCATGCCACAGGCCTTTCTAACGGCAGCGCCAACAGTTTCAACGTCGAAGGTATCGACTCTTATGGAATACACATTACTTTCACTTGACGTCATCACTTTACACTGGTGGTCGTTTTACCTGGTCTTGCCGAGAAAAAAAGCTCGGTGCTTCAAAATGTACGCCGCAAAAGGTCCGCGGGGAATTGAATGGCTGTCGAGGTTACGTGACGTAAATTTTTGCACTAAATCTAGCGAAGAAACTGAATTTGTTTATAGGTGACGTGACACCAAGCAACGTCACTAGATTACCTCAGTTGTGGAGCTCCCGCGGAAAGGGGTACCCCCCCCCCCCCCCCCCGCCTCACTCACTTCAATCCGCCTGCCGTCGTTCGACGCGCCATCTAGATTTCCGTTTCATAACTGTGCGTTCCATAGTGCTGGATAGAGCAGAGCTGAAACGCCATCTAGACGCCGTACTTTGAAACGTACGTATCTCATAGAATACACTCCAGTTACCAAAGCAGTCGAGCGACGCCAGGCGAGTCGTGGTGAGTGAAGGGGGGTACTGGGCTCGTGCATGCAGCGTCTATGAGCAGTTCCGTAACTGAGCTAATGTAATAACATTGACACCAAGTCATGTGACGTCATTTTCCTCGCTAAATTTAGCGAGGAAGCAGAATTGATGATGAGGTCACGTGGCGTCAACTTTTTAGCTAAATTCAGCGGGAACGCTGTGAGAGGAGTGGAGCTATGAAGGAGAAGGGGGGGGGGAGGTACAGAAGGGAGGAGGATGAGAGGGTACGCAGGAGGTGGAGGGAAGGGTACGGAGGACGAGGAGGAAAGGAGGAGGGGAGGAGGAGAGGGTGCGGAGGAGGAGCAGGGGCACACTTCCCCTTCCGTACCCTCCTCTCCTCCTCCTGAAGATCTGCGCTCTGATTTCGCATTAGAGAGATTTATAAATGTCTTCCATTTTTTTACGTCATAAAAGTTTGCGAAGGAGAGATTGAAAGAAACCGATTTCTTTTGTTCTTCAAATTACACTGCAACAAATTGGTTTCTTGATCACTGGCATTGCGCGCGAGTACACTCGGGTCCCACTAGTGGCAGTAATCTCGTGCTAAGGGAAAATGTTCCAAGCGAATATCGTTGCACGGCCCTTTTAAAAGGGCCGTGCAATAATGTTGGGTAGGAACTTTTCTCACTTTACACCAGCTAACTGGCACTAGTCAGACCCAAGAATAGTCGAACGCAACGCCACTGACCAAGAAGCGTCTTCGTCGCTGTAGAATTCCAAGGATAAGAGTCCAAGCTTTTCCTTCAGTCTCTCCTTTACAAATTTTAATGACGGAGCTGTGGGGACAATGCCAACTATCCGATCCTCAGGAGTGCGTCATCGAGCTTTGCGATCCTCGCTGTGAGGCTGCTCACACAGTGGACACGAAGTCTGCGTGGGTATTCGATTTTGGCCCGTGAAAATCAATGCCTCGACAGGCATTCGGGTAGTGGCTCGTGCCAAATCTCTGGGACAACGGGTATAGTCGAACCTTAACAATAGCGCGCGCCCTGTGCTTTGCCAACTCCAAGGCGTGCCCAAGCAGCACAGATTTGGTCAGTCATTGGCCAATGGCTGGCAAGGATCCTTTGGCCAGTGGCCAGACAGTGGCCAGCCATTGGCCGATGACTGGCCTTCCTCTGGTCATTGGCCGCTGGCCACTGGCCTTCCTCTGGTCATTGGCCACAGGCCACTGGCCATCCGCCATCGGCCAAACATTGGCCGAAGAATGGCTACTTTATGGCTGTTGGCCAAAATACCATCGCCAGCCATTGGTCAATACCCGGCCAAAATCCGTGCTGCTTGGGTGGCTACCTATGGCTAATTCGGGTGGTCATTTCCCGGCAAAATATTTGCATATCTTTGGCGAGGGCGTTCGCATGGTCAAAAGCTGGCGAGTGCGCGCCGTTCGGGTGGCGCTTCCCAGGCGTGTGCCGGCCATTTACCGGCAAAATGTTTGCCCGAGCTTCGAGAGGCCGGGCAGCTTGTCTGCCAGACTGGATCCGCGATCGTCATTTCCAAATCGGGAAAGGGAACCAAATGAAACAATGGTCGCCGATAGCGGGTTCAAGTAGAAAACCAAGCCATTGAGGCAGACACCCCTCTGTGGTCCGAGAAAAAACATAAAAAACAACGAAGCTAAAGATAAAAATATTTTAAAGGAAGCTTGAGCAGGATCAGTTTGCTATGAAACACAGCGTGTTATTACACCGCTGTTAAAAAAAAAAAAAAAGTGTATTGATAGTGCTGCAGCTCGACACTTGAACGCGCATTACTATTTCAAAGGGCTAAGCCAAATGAAAAGGCTGAGGATTCCAGAAAAAAAGGTAATAACAAGAAAATAGAATATAAACAGCGACACTGGTGAGCCCTCCGGGATCCTTGTAAGATAGCAATAGTTCTCCAGGAATCCAAACAAACATATTAAAATTTGTTTTCCCACATCTCAGAGTCCGAATATATGTCGCTGCTACCTGCTGCCTATTGAATCATAAAATAATCGAAGAAGTTAAAAAAGCTTAGGCACTTCCCAGAAAAACGAAAAGGCCAATTGTCGGCGCTTTGTATTCGGGTGGAGAGGGTTTTCCGCTGGATCTAGCGGGGAAATTTTTCCGCTAGATCTAACCGGTAAATTTTTCCGCTAGATTTAGCGGGGAAATTTTTCCGCTAAAGCGTGAAAATTCTTCCGCTAGATCTAGCGGGGAAATTTACCCATAATACACCGCGCGGTTACGCCGACGCCCACGCCGCTCAAGCCGGAAACGGGCGCCAAAGATCTGCGCTCTAAAACATTGGCAGGATGGCAGCATATAATTTGGCTCCGTATCACGTGGCCGCTTTTTCTGGCTGCGAGTTGAGGGAGTAAAGGGTGTTCGTTTTTCTCAATTTTTTCTGCGACTGGTACTCCGTACAGAAAAAAAAAAGAAGCAATGTGTGATTAATAGGTTATAAATGTCAGGGAATAATTCTATTAGGCAATAATTGAATGTAGCAAAATTGCGGCATCGCCCCTTTACGGAACACGACGAGAACGAAGTTAAAAAATTATGTAACTTAACTTTTTTTTTTCACACAATACTTGAGGACTGGTACAGCCATGTCTATCGGTTTGTTGATCCAAATTTGATGCAAACTAGCGACCTTAAAAACCATTGCTGGAGTCATTTGTAACTGAGGTGTCTGCCCCTGTGCTTCGCACAAGTGGGGGCAGCCATTGTTTTTGTGTCCTGAGGGTGTCTCTGGTCCAGATATTTATCGAAATCTTTGTGCGCACTACGATGGAAGTGTTTTGTCGCGAAGAAGTCCGAATACAAAACTTCAAAGAAGGACGCACAAGTCTCAGCCGTAGAGGAGTCGCTCACCCGTCCGCGTCCGCGACTGTCGACGACGGCATTGAGTATATGCACGTGAAGTGAGTCTGTCAGATAGTCGAGCGACACTGGATGATGTGGCAAATCATTCGCAAATCATCCAAGGTTTTGCCTATGCAGAAGGTTTTGACTAAAATAAATTCTACGACCAGAGTGCGGATTTTTTTTTCCAGCTGTTAAGGCCTAGTTTCCCCTGTATCGTGTCCGTCAGCAAATAAATGATGACACGAAACTCTGGACAGCTACCAATATCTATGAGCGACGGCGGTCTGTGTGGCAGCCGTCGCTCATATAACCATTCCAGCCTTTCCACTCTGGCTTGCCAACTTGAGGCGGGCCACAACTTCATTCCCAGCATAGTGGAGCTTCGCTGGACTTACCTCTTCACCAGAGGGGAAAGGCTGAAAGTATATATATATATATATATATATATATATATATATATATATATATATATATATATATATATATATCTCTTTTGCGGAAAGGGAGACGTCGCGCATGCGTATACAGTGACTCGGCATTTTTCGCACTTTGAAAGCGAGTCTTCCGGGCATCCAGTATACGCATATCTGTCAACTGCTCGATAAGTGCACAATGGCTTCTGCTTAATATTGATTGGACTACATTCGTTGTCACATTAAGAGAAGAGAACAAAAAAGTCGTTTTGCGTAATATTCGTGCGCTGCGCAAAGTAGTTATTACGATATTTTGTTGTCAAAGAAAGCAGATAATTTTGTCTTTTGATACATGGACATCTTGTTGAAATAACATAAAGCTAATCTAAGATGCAGCTACATATATTTTAATTTGACACAAGGAAGGTGAGATTGGTAACGTTCTGCGAGGGTGCGGAGTTTTTTTACTGCAGTTATTGAGGTGAATACGAGTAGGACATAATAAAGGCGGAAAAGGAAAACAATGAACACGGCTCACCGATGTGACGTCAAAGAAGCCTTTATGGCGAAAGCATAAGTAATATACGTGACTCGGTCCACGCAGTCGTGATCGAGGTGAGCTTTTGGTGACTCGGGCGGCAGCTTTCGACACTTCTGAAAAGTTTATTTTATTCTCCTTCGTACCAGGTCAACTATCGTCGTGATTTTAACTCGCTGACTGCAGTGCAGTGCAATCCGCTTATAACGATAATGGGAAAACCCGACAATTCAATCGGTGTAACTCGACTATTGTTGTATCTGGACTAGGTTTCTAATCTTGAATCTCTAGAAACTGATTGTTATAAGCGGTACATCGCTATAAGAGGATCGCGCTGTATATGTCATTTTGACGGGTCCTCTCAACGTCAGGATGCACACCTCTCCTGCTGATGCTGTTCATGAGACACACGACCCGCTACCCGAACGTCAAGGACATGAAGAAATTTGAGGGCAGGATCACCGAACTTCGAGATCAGATGCTGGAAGCGGAAAGAAACAATTGCTGTGAGTAATATCTCTCGTGATGTTGGCACAGCGCAAACCTGCCCCGACTTCGGGGAAATCGTGATGCCGAGGCTCTCAGAAGTTCCTTGGCGGACTTCGCCGCCACGTTTTAAGACACAGATGACTGGTCTTTTTTTTTTTTCGGTTCCGTATGATGCCTGGAATTTTTCGGTCCTGTATACGGTGCCTCCGATTGGTCTGCCTAACGCTTCCTCAAATGTAGTCCCTCGATTTCCTCCCGCGACCTCAAAGAGCGTCATGTTGTTGCCTGTCGCGATCCTGGTGGTGGCGAAGCAACGGAGGTTGATACGGCAGACGGCTATTCTGCTGCAAGTCACTCACCAGTTCGACAGTCCTCAGAAACTCCTGCAGCCGGAAGTCTGGTGGCTGCCTCGCGTTCGCGCGTACTTTTTGCCAGAATTTCTACGACCAACCGCCAGGAGCGCGTCAATCGACCACATGACACGCGCCGGCCCCTGCGACGTCATTTGTTGACGACTTCGGATGCATGGGAGCTACTTGGCGCTAAACACACCAGTCGAAGACGCGTTCCAGGCGCCGTATGGTATCCGTGGTGAAAGTGGCAGACGCGTTGAGATTGCAGGACCGTTGGAGCGTGATGCCGATCGTCTTTTTCTTTGTTTGAACTGATTAAAGAAAGACCATCGCTTGGCATTCCAAGTGCATCATGGGACAGTATGGATTTGGGACCGTCTGAGTGTATATGGTCTCATGTGACGTGATAGACAAGCGTCTCCCATGGAGCTCCTGAGACACCTCGTCTGCATCGCCTGTGCTGCCTCGTAGTCCCTGTTTCGCGAGCGAAAAAAAAACAATTTGCCATGCTTAACCTGATGGTGCACAAAATAAGAAGAGGTGAGACAAAAAGATGACACACGTAAAGAAATATATATTTGCAAAAAGGAAGGTTTTCACATAAAAGAAAACAAGATAGATAGTCACTCGCGTCGCCGGGATGGTGGAGTTGGCAATCGCCTGCTGACTCCCTCTGACTCTTGGCCTTCGGCCAAGAGCAAGATGGCTTTGTCCGGGATAGTTTTGTGGGCCGGGACGGAAGCTTGCCGGGTACTGGATAGTGGCAGCGTTCTCGTCTCGGAGCAGAGACGAAGTCGACCGTCTTCTCTCAAAAAGAACCCCTCGCGCACCCACCCCCCGCCGGCCCTCGGGTCATCTTTTTTTTTTTTTTTTTCTAGCTTCCCCAATGCATATTTTTCTCGCCTCTTTTTGATTCACAACCATGACACCATAATCTGAAAATACGCGAGGAAGCCACCGAAAGTGTCAATTAAAAACCGAACACTGAAATAGGAAACAAAACAGAATCGGTGTTGGGTTCACGACGGAAGGTACGTCTGGTCCTTCTCTGGCAGCCATGTTGTGCCAGACGCACCTGCGCCAGCTGAGAGCCTGGCGATTCAAGTGGAGCACCAAGGACGAGAACGCGGTCACGCTGTCCGGATTGAGGGACACCAAACTCATAGGCAAGTGCCATGCTTACGTAAACACCCACCTAATCTACCAAGCACTTGCTTGCGAAGAATAAAGCGCACCAAAAGACTGCCCGTAGAGATGCCGTGAAACCTATAGTGTGATGGGACGTAGGACGACACAATGAAAGGTAATGAGAATGCTGATTCTAACAATCAATCGCGAATCCCGTTAGAATTTATATACATGCACTTTGCAACTTTTTAGATACACGTATCCCGTTCATTGAATGACCAAATCCCATCGATAATGTATTACGGGCAGAGTGAGAGCATTAAGATATACAGGAAATCAAAGAAAGTGTTGCTTGGCCAGTGGCCGAGTATGTCAACTTTGTGTATGAAGGGCATGAAGATTTTCTATATGTATTAATTTTACCCTCAGTACCCGAAGCTTTACAAAAGAAAACGAAACGTCTTCCTTTAAAAATTATCTAAAATATTTCTGATTCATTACGAAGCTATGGTTGAATGTGTAGAAAGGCAGGCAAGGTGACGAACTAAGTTCATAATGAAAACATGATAGCTAAACATATAAATTCCCGCTCATTCTCAATCCGTGCAAGCGTGTCTGCATAGCCTTTCACTAAAGAAGAAGAAAGAAAGAAGCGTGCGTGGCCTATAGGTTGTATTCGTGAAGCGGTGCATGCTGGGACCAGCGCCATCTTGCCGTCCTCGAGAGCAGACAGCCGCGCGCGCACTCCCGTAGCGCCCAGCGACAGGTGACGGACGCGTTACGCACGCACCGTTGCAGTGCGACGTATTTATGGTGTTTGCTCGCACGCTAACGTGAAGATGTCTTCTTCAAGTGGTTGTCCACCGCTGGGTTTATACGGCCTAAGTTTAAGCGGACGGGAACGCACACGTTACGAGGAAAAGGTTAAAATGTGCGGCGCGGATCCGTTCGCGCTGCCGCCGATGGACCTAGTCTCTGGACAGGCAGGAAAAAGCATGTGAAAGATGTCCCTACCTTGACTGGGGGCGGTCCGTTTTTGATGCCGACGACGACTCAGCCGTACGTAGCGACCCGAGTGCGGGCCGTCGAGCGTGGATGCATAACCCAAATGTTGGCTAGGTGCCCAGTCAGGGTTGCAGTCGTCAAAAAGATCGGCCGCTGCCCCTGCACAATGTAAAGAATCGATCAAAAGACGTCTAAAGGGGAGAACACGGAACAGCTGTCCGATTTTCCGCCGGAGCAGTGGCACCCCTTAAAGATTGCTGCAAGGCAAAAATAAAAACAGAAAATCGTGCTCATGAATGTAAAATAGTTATCTAAATCCTGTTTCTCCCGCTCCTGCGACAGAAAGCTCGCATTCGAGTGTTTTTAAGATCCTTTAGAATGACTGAACCAACTAACTTCGATCGAACTTGCGCTGCAAGTAGGCCTAGCCCACTGATTCGAAAAGCTCCAGGAAGTTAATGTCAGAGAAAAACAAACTATGCCGACACTCACCCGAGACGAAGTGGCGTGAGCACACCTTGTACTTGTCGAGGTCAGCGTCCAGGTCTTTTCTGTTGATGCGTTTCAACCATTCTCGCTGTCTCCTCGCGGACAGTGTTCGCGTCGTGTCGCATTCACGAGTCCGTACCTTCGGTATTTTAAAGAACCGAGCGTCTGCGACCTTGCACTCTTTCTTCTTCTTTGACGATTGCGTCTTGTTGTGGCAACCTACCACCACACACGACACCATACCCGAGGCAGAAAGCGCGGCTGCGGCTTCGCCTGAAGTTTGAAAAGGTAGGATGCGGTTGTCCGTACGCGACTGTGCGACTGTCTGCTCCCGAGGACGGCAAGATGGCGCTGGTCCCAGCATGCACCGCTTCACGAATACAACCTATAATCATCAGTAAGACAAGGGTGTCCAATGTCGCCTCTGCTTTTTGCGTTATATTTACAACCTCTACGTAAAACAATTATGGCCGACGCGAACATTCAGGGCGTGAATTTCGGCACCGGTCCAACTAAAATACTCGACTATGCTGATGATGTTGCGATTGCATGTTCGTCTAAGTGAGAACTGGAGCTTGCAGTAAAACATTTATCGGATTTCTCCAACACATCAGGGACAGCCATGAATATGTCAAAATCGACTGTGTCTTCGCTGGGCCCATGGATCACAAAACCCGAGAGGTATTTGGGCATGAATTGGTCGTGTTTAGTCTCTAAATATGTCGGAATTAAACTCGAAACTTCATCACTCAGCAGCGGCTGAGAAGGCATTCATTTGAACAAGGTACGCGAAAAAATTAGTGATTTGCACGGAAGGTATTTCTCGTTCTTTAATAGGTCCTCCGTTTGTAACTCTGTATTTTTTTTCAAGTGTATGGTATGTGGCACAGGTTGTGCCGTCCCGTCAAGTAGATGTCCACAAGTTTCACAGCATTTGTGCAACGTTTATCTGGCAATCTTTGTTTGAACGGATCCATAGGACTAATTTGTTTCTTAGCCTTTCCAAAGGAGGTATGGGGCTTGTTAACTTAGAACTAAAGATAAAAGTAATCGGTTTCTATTTTTCCGCGACCAAATAAACCCGGTTCTGGCCAGATCCTTAAAGTGGCTAAGGGGCCGGAACCTCTCGGCCTGGCAAGTGAGTACAGAGGAAGCCTCCAGAAGGGCTCCCGTACTTAGGTTTTACAAAGAGATGAAAGACGCTATTTATTTTCTTTTCAATCACGTTTTTCGTGGGACAACCTAACCCAGGCGGATAGGAAAATGCTGAATTGGGACACTATTTACCTGGTAATACCGCCACCAATGTATCGCTCTCTGCCGGAAAGCCTAGAAGGGTCTACATTGTTTAAAAAACTGCGTAAAGAACCGCTAAAAACATGCATAAAAGATTTCTTCCTAAAATTTCATGCAGAAGTGTTGCCTGTACAGACGTGGCTCCAAAACAAAGGGTTCCTTTTAGCGGGGTCAGCCAACTGTGCTCTATGTCCTTTTCAGGAGAGTTTGCACCATGTATTCATGTGCTGCACAAATGCTGAAATATTTTTGTCGAAACTACGTCATGCTTTTAACCTTGATGAAGCCCAGCCGGATCGGGGCACTCTAAAAAAAATTTCATGTTTCAGCTGATGAAAACGAAAAGTGCGTAGAAGTGTTATTTCTGCTCGGGATGCATGCGATTTGGAGATCCCATACGGATCACACGCTGGTTGTAGAAAAGGGCAAGCCGGCCTGGAGCCATTTTGTTGAAGGCTTTTCCTACACTAGTAGCCTGTTAGAGCAAACAGACATGACCGGCTTCTAGCAGCGGTTCGTTATGCAAGAACGCTTTAAAAAAAAAACATGGCGAAAAGAGACAAGTGCATAAATATGCATTGTATAATGCACACCTGATCCCATGGAAATTCGATTGGGTATATTTTTCTGTTCTTCGACAACGGCCAAGAAGGTCAGCTTTTAACTCTGTAAATAAAAACATAAAAAAGCGTGCGTGGCGTATCTAGTAGCGTGTCTGGCACGCTACCGAAAGGTCGTAGGTTCGAATTCACCTAAAATTCTTTAATCTTTTTCTTTAAGGCAAAAAAATTACTTTACTTTATAAAGTGAGACATGTGGCGACCTTTAATTTGCATTGCCTGCCATGTTTTAAGCGCTTTCATTCCACGCGTGACGTCACGTTTCACATGAGCATCATGGGCTGTTTGCAATTCCCGCGTGTTCATGTGGCTGTGGCGTCATGACTCTTTCAACCAATCCTGAATTTTATCCGTCACAACGCCACCGACGCCGACGCCGGCTTTTCTGTGACACGAGCTCCTTAACGCTGTCACGTTTAAAACCCGAAACTGGGGGAAAAAAAGAAACGGACATGCACTCGCACCGTTATATACTTTGTTACAGAGTACACACTGATATGTTTTGCTTTAGCTCAGTTCTAACATCGTTGAGCCAATCACAAACGGAAAAGACTTACTAGTGACTTGCGCTTTTGACGCCGCTTGTATGGTCCCTCGTCTCCAGCGATCGTTGCTCGCCCTCTCGCGGCGGAAACGGAAAGCGCTCTAGTGAGGGTCCCCCGGTTTTCCTGCTCAGCGGGCACGGCGGAACTGCTCGCGATCATGGCTCGCGAGATGTCATTTCCTGTTGCAAACAACATTCTTCACTGCCCCAATGGAACGATGCAGCCGGTATTGGGGTGTTACCTTGCTATCTGAGGGTCATTGCGTGCCAAAAAAGACGCGGCAATTATTATTTTCATGTCTGGGATATGTATGAAACAAAATTAATGTGAATAAAGAAGCCTCTGAAATCCATGAAAAATATTTTTGCGGAATAAATTAATTTTATTTTTTCTGATTTCATGCTCTAAATTTCTAGAATTTGCATAAAACCCTTGTAGTTAAGAAAAACAAGGTGAAAACACATTCGGGTACCACACAAATTTAGGTGGGCGCCTAATTACCGAATAATATGCCCTATCTTACAGTAAAAGACAAACATTGAAGGACGCCATTTTGAGTTTAAACAGGAGATCCAACAAAAAGAGGCTTTATGAGATTTATCTATTTTTGTTAGTCAACTTGGTGTTGTTTGTCAGCTAAAAAAATACTTTTTTGGTTAGTTCTTATAAAACTATTAATTTAATTTACCGTGTTAAATGTTTAAAGCCTCGTTTTGTTGCATACTAATTAAATGAAAAATTTTCTAGTTTATGCTCATTGAAAGTCAGAAAAAGCAATGTGAGCATCAGTGCCCGCAACTTTCGAAAAAGCCGAAAATGCAATCCCCCTCATCTATTCAATATGTCATAAAGTTAGGAAACTACTTTTTGTTTTTGCTAAGAAATTAGTTTTTAAAGAAGAGCCTTTCCGACTATGCCTCCAGACGCCCGGCTCGTAGGGCGACGCACGCCGACGTTCGCCAGCGAAGCATCATCAATGAGACGCTGCCGCAAGGTCTTCAAGACTCTCCTGAAAACACGTTGTAATCAGTTGAAGTTGACGTTATCCTGAAATCCACGCATCCATATCCTCTTTACCTTACG